CATTTTAATCTTTGTAAACGATATCAAAGAAGAAACTAGGTTCTCTACCAGAAAACTGGAATGCTTTAAATCAAGGGGATGTAAAAGCGAATGCATTGAAGCGTTTTCGATTTTATGTAAAACGTGGTCGAGTCGGTCGATAGTCCTTCGTTTCGTTAATCTGCTCGTTCTTCCGTCGTTTCCCTCGGTTTCAAGGCTCGTCCCGATTCTCTTGCGTCTTTACCCGGCACGGAACGGTCGAAGACAAACTCGTTCTATTTGTTGGCCTCGCGAGAAATCCTCTGCTCCTCGGCGCAGCGTAGCTCGACAACTTTTCGTTTCAGCATTGCAAATTGTTTGGCACGAGTTCTGTCGGGGGCTACTTACCGGGCTCTACCCTCTTAGCCTATCCCCGTACACGCGGTTACGCCGAGGCATCAGGACTATCGTGTTTCAATTTATTCGTTTTCTCTGACGGCGCGCAATCGCGGCGGCGGCTGCTTTCATCGCGGGGGTGGTGAAAGTTTTCACCCGTTTTGTCGCGCCGAGATGTCGTGACGGTAACTCCTTCCCGCGGCCCCGTATTGATCAAAGAAATTAGAGGTTTCGACCGTCAACAATGGTATCGATAACGATCGACCTCGGGGCGATAATGTAAGCCACCCTCACTTTGCTTTTTTATTCGACTCGAACTGGTCTCGCGGCAGCCTAATTTGCATTTTGATACTTTGCGATAATAGACTATATTTTCGTTAATCTCTCGGTTAATTGCTTACAAACATTTATGGAACCTTTTGATGGATGCAGTTTACGTAGGTACACGTGTTAATGCGAAGTGACAGGACGGTTTATCAGGTAACTTTTAATTAAGGAAATCCAGTCGCTAGAGCTTTCGGAGAGAAGCACGATAGACGCGCGGGCAAAAACCGATAGCATCGTGTTTTGTGTAGCGTGTGTAGGGAATGAGAGAGAGAGAGAGAGAGAGAGAGAGAGAGAGAGAGAGAGAAGGGCGGGGAGTTTCACTATTAATCAGCCATTTCTCTAGCAAACTTCCCAGCGACAACCATACGCTTTTCCAGGGTACAAACAATTTTAATCGATGAACTTTGGTAGGAGCGTTTGATTCAATTACCTCGCGCTGGAACTTTATTTTTGTCAAAGGGAATCAGAATTCGCCAGGAAATTGCGTTAGGATTTTAAAATGCGATTGATCAGCCCGATAGGATTTACTTCCGACGAATATAATAATAATATTCTATTTGTAGAAGAAGGAGAAAACGTAATAACCTCACCAGTGGCCTCGTTCACAAACAATTAAAGGAGCGCAATCTCCTTTCATTAATGCCACCGATCAATATCCCATTTTCAGCAAGACGCTGATATTTTTCACCCACTTCAATTCAATTCCTGTATAGAAATCCTTTTCATTTCCTGGAATTATCATACACGAGTCTGTTTTAATTTTCACATGATCTTCCCTTGCGTCTTTAAATTTCGTATTTTTTAATCTATTCCGCATTATCGTGTTTTAATCTAGCCTATTGTTCCGCGTCCCCGTAATCAATGCCCTCCGTGCTCCAGATTTTATATTTCGCGTCTGACCTTTCCCATATTTATACTCCTCGCACCGCCGACCGTTCATTTTCCTTCCAATTGTTCATAGACATACATTTATAAAAAATTCCGTAGTTTAAAAAGTCAATTCTTCTTACATTTAAATAAATTAATTTCCTCTGTCAGTTTTTTATCTATGCAAACGCGTCGGACGTACGTTCGAATAGGGGCTGGAATGCAAACCTCGAATGTTGTAGCATCGTTCGAAGCCCTGTCATCGGTATGAAGAAGCATTGTGAAGTCCTCGACAGCTCTTGTGAAAGCCGTTTGGTACTAAAGTATACGCGAAGCAGCTAGAGTGGTAGCTGCCGTACCATATGGGAACCATAAACTGCGCGATCCATTGGGGTGTATGAAAGAAACAAGGGTGTGCAAGGGAAAAAGGTCGGTGACGTCAGAGACCAGGGACACGTAGTTATTCGACGGGCCACGCCTCGATGCTTGCGACCGCGGGGTGTGCGTGCACCGCGTGCATGCGTGAAAATCAACACGAATACTCCCCGCGTAGTATATACACTGTAGAGAGTTGGAGTACTCGCGAGGCACACGCGTGCGACCCCGATTCGATTGCACTGACGTGCACAAGGGCCACTGCCGACTGTAAGGGTTGCTCCTCCGCTCGTGTAAAAACAAATCGAAGAATAGGCGTGACAAAGTTCTTGACTCTTAGACGCGATACGCATCTGGGAGCGTAAAGGGAGCGTAAAGGGAGCGCAAAGGGAGCGCAAAGTTCTCGACGTTACCCTCTACCCGCGAGCTTCGCGAGATTCAGTCTTATCAGGGCGCACTGTAATATGTATCGCGGCGAACGAGTTTAATAAAATTGGCAAACGAATAATTGTCTCGAGCTTCCACGGACTCCTGTGCGCAATAAATATTATAGTTGAATAACCGCGCACACGTGGGATTCACAGTTTTGTTGTGAATTCAATTCCGGTTTTCGTAATAAACGTCGTTAATATTCATTTATGGAGATTAACGTTCGGCCTTTCCTTTCTCATTCTCCCATTCCTTTTTTCCCTGCACTTGGAGAAGTATAACGAGCACGAGAAAACACGTGAATTACTTTACAGAATGAACAACACGGTTTCGCTTTTCTACCGAATTACACTTTTCCTTTATTACGCGAGCAACAGTTTGTACACCGGTTGAAACGCACAAGTGAAAGTAAATCACGAAAATAACGAGGCGAGGTGGTGCTGGTTTTGAAATCGGGAGAATGGGATGTTTCCCCCAAGAAGACATTCCCCGTCTTATTGTCGGAAATACTGAAGCTACACGAGAGAGGAGGGTCTGCGAGTCGCAATTTTTAAGCCGATCTCTTCACGGGCGACGATGGGAAAAAGAAATACTACACCTTTTTAAGGGTTGGCATGGATCGAACGCCTGTTTGCATAAAAGCTCTACCTCGTAAAATCTTCGGATGAGCGGTTGCTCCAGGTATACATGTCTACACGTGTGTACAGTGTCCGTGTATGTAACATTGAAATTTTATACGGAGGCGTGCATTTAAGTTAAATACGCGCCCGTATGCTGGAGGAGATTCGCGAGCCGTCGCCGTTAACCGCACATACATAGATACCGTGTTTTAATACATATGTATTTACATTGAAAAAGTTGCCTATATTTGTGGCCACCTACGTCCTATTAAATTCAATGCGCAATTTGCATTGAAGGTGCAGGCAGCTGTGTACTGGGCCAATTTTTCACTCCGCAAACGTGCATAGGAAACTGTATACATTTTTTGTTTTTAGAAAAAGACAATTAACTGTCTAAATGTTTCCATCCATTATTCCGTGAACGACGTTTGGACCGGTATTTCATCTATCAACCTGTCGCTAAATGAAAACGTTTCAAGATGCAAAGTGCAACGTTTCACCTTAAGAGCGCTTTTAGAGATAAGATACTCGATGTTCGGGAAGTGGATCGTTTTAAAAGGACGCTTCTACGAAATATTGCACGTGAGCTTATCTACAATAGACTCATGTATCTATTCGTATTACCGATTCGATGGATAATTAATTATTATCTTCCGATACGGCGTCATTTACGATTCTTGCAGAGTTAATTTATTTCGATTGAATGTAACAAATATTTCATTCGACAGGAATAATTAATAGCATATAAAATTAATTATTGCACTCGGTTAATTATATTCCACCTAATGAAGGGATGATTAACAGATAATGGTGAATTTAAAAATTCAATCACAGTATTGTGCCTGATGAGGCTTTTATTTTGTTTCGATGCTGGCTAAAAAGGAATTAACGAAACGAGCAGCGTGAATTATTTTATAGAAATTCAGTGTCATAAATGAAAACATATTTGAAGCTAGTATCATCGAAAGAATATCCCCAGTCGTTAATTATTCCTGCCTCTTCATTTTAACTGGAGCACTAAATTCTCGTCCGTGAAACGGAAAAGGAACGAGAAAAAGGCCGAAAGGAATTTCTCGCAATATTGCTCGTCACGTTGCGTGGCACAAAAACTTCGTTACTTGTTTTGTGCAAAAAAAGCGTGAGGGTGTCGGGGAGAAGAGAGCGTGTGAGAGAGACAGAGAGAGAAAAAAAAAGAGCACAAGAGAACGTGACTTCGGTAAAATAATATTGTTGTTGCTTTTAGGAAGTGCATCGTCGGAGCATGATAAATGATCGCGTGCAACAATAGATGTATGTCACCAGATACGAGCAAAATCACTGAACTCCTCTGAATCTCTGCGTATAGGTGAATTATTGTTAAGAGTGAATGCATCGCGCCTGAAACTGATTTTTGTTTCCCGTTATAAATATCGTTCGACGACGGGGTTCGGAACGCGGTGGCGGGATGCCCGGGCTAACAGAATCTTTCTTAGGAATAGAGTCCAGAAAATTCGTTCGAATTCACGGGAAGTGGAATCTCTAGAATTCAATTATCCGTGTTCTCCCAAGTAAAGTCGCGTTTTCTTCTGCCCTCACCGTCGATAGGGCAAGATGACTCCATCCGGTATGTGAGCGATTTTGGAAAATTGTAAAAATCATTATTTCAGATTTTCTGCGAGTTCGCCGAGTTCACTGTATCAGCACTAGGTTCAAAAGTAACTTTCTCAAAAGGGTTTGAAGGCGTATCGATCGGAGTTGGAGATTCTTTGCCGGTACCCGGACGTCGACGCTTTTACCTTTCCGTCACGAATACGCACGCGAAACATCTAAAACGCAATTTCCTCTTATGTACGTGCAGAGACACATACGTACGTATGTGGAAACTCTTAAACCGAGTTCGATGCACTGGATACAGAAATCTATCAAGAGTGATAAAATAATCCCGATCGCGGAGAGAGAGCGTTACGCCTTCGAACTGTCGAACGGGTTAATGTACGGCACATCGATACGAGACCATTGATAATGGTACTAAATGGAAATCGCACTAACCTTGAGCGTGGACGACACAGAAAAAAGCAACGACGACGGTGGCAAGGACGTGACACAACATTCTTCTTTTCCACTTTCCTTCTCCGTTCAGGGCACACCGTTTACCTTCTTTCGGCCGGTTATCCAACTTCGTTTCACTTTCCACGCGAACCTGTCGACTTCCTCGGCCGTAGGAAAAAGACGCACTGTGTTTTAATCGCGTTTCCGGCGTATCGCGTGCCAGTTAATCGATGGGACTCGCTTCGACCAGGCCGCAGCTCGATCGTTTAACGTCACAAAAGATCCTGTGTTCACTCATATCACCCCGTCGTTCACTCTTTCCCCTCGCTAAGTTGCCGGCTCACTTTAACCCCTTATCGTTTTCATATAATTCAGCGATTATTTATCCTCACTAAAATACGATTAACACCTCTGAACGGTCACCACGCCGAAGTCGTCACGCCGCTGACCGACTCGTCGAGCATCCCTCGCGACGTTCTTCGCCTGCTGCGTTCTGAAACACAAATAACGTTTCACCTCAGACATAAATCGAGGAGACGGTCGTTGTATTTTTTCGAACTTCTTAGCAACTTTCTATCTGTTCGAGCAACTCCATTATTCCATCCACTTGTATCAACGAGGAACTCGTTCATCTGTGTTGTACGATCTTGTCAGAAAATTTTCCGCGCCATATTTGTCAAATCAAAATTGCGACACTTTATCATTCCCGCCGTACAATGTCGTGCATTTTTTTTTTATCCCGGGTTGCGTGCAATAAGCGCGACCAAGCTGCTTCGGAAAAAGGACGGAAAGAAAGGAGTTTGGCCAACTCAATAAACGTCAGAGGAACATCACATTTTTTTCTCCCTGGTATTATTTCCGTACGGGATACAGTCGCGTCGAGAAGTTGCTCCACGTCCCTAGAGTGCAGACCTCGGTGTCTATCACTTACGGCCTGGTGTCAAAGATTTTTCGAATCGTGCCGCGCAAGGAGGTTGCGTGGGTATCGATGAAAAGTAGAATGTAAGAAGAGGGGGCCGGAAGAGCGATCGTGAGAAAAAGTTAGCCAAGCAAGCAAACTCAATAAAGTCAGGAAACTTGGCCACGTAGCGGTGGAGGAACGGGCGATCTTCGGTCGCTCGGTATCTTATCGTATGAACTTGACGAAACTCAGACACGGAAAAGTATATTAAGTGCAAATAAGAAGAAAGTATGCCAAATAAGACGAAACTTTTCGGCAAATACCACAGCATGGAATCAATGCGCGCTATCTATTCAATTATTGAGCAGATACCTACGCGTTACGGTCAAAACCCGAAATTCATCAATATCGGCTTTAACCAATAACAATCAATTTTGTCAAAGCCATTTAGTCAATACTAGTTTCAACTAACTAAAACCAGTATTGACTGCGCGCAGTTAGTTATAAAAGGCTCGGCTTCGATCAGAAAAAAAATCCAAACACCAGTTGGTTTTTGACGACTTTATAAGATTTTTTGTTGATACTAGCACCGTTTAATGGATTCGGTCAATATTACGTTTAACTAGTCAGAACTATCATCAAATCAAAACCTCTATTGTTTAATGGATTGACTCAATATTAGTTTTGTCTGATTAAAGTGACGATCGAACTTCTTTTTCTAAAATCAATTTCGACGACCGCGTACAGCTTCTGCTAAGCTGGATAAACCAGAGGTTCATGTTTACCGTTAGGTATGCCGATATAGAAATATAATTCTTCATTCTCCTCTCTTCTCTATATAATCTGACCGAGCGTTTCACGGTATTTTTCGCGATTTTCTCTGTTTCGGTATCGAACTGCCGTTCCTCGATAGCGCGGAATACTATGCGAATATGGTAACGGGGTATTATTAAAAAGACGAATCGACTTTTCGACGGATCTTATCGGCCGATGATTGATGAACGGGGAACACGTATCTCTGGCTGAGCAACCTTACAGCGTATAGGTGAGTAACTCTAACGTTACGCGTTCTACCCGTCGCTTACAAATCAAATAGCACACCAAAGTAAGGCTTCCGCTGCTTCCACCGGCAACTTTCCTTTCGAGCTCCGCCATTGTCGCTAGCCACCCCAAATCCTCCTGCTACTAGTCGCACCGTACCCACTGGCACTCTCTGGGCCGCAGCAAGACATAATTGAATAAAACCGCTAAGTGATTAATTGCATGAACCTTCGCGGTGCCTCTTCCTTGCCAGCTAACTTCGTGCTCAACTTTAAAGGACATTTACTGCATCGTTTCGCTTTTTGCCCGACTTCAATAGACGCGTTACTCGTTTTCTGTTACAGGAATTTCCTGGGGACTGGCTCCACTAAGTAAAGCGTTCCCTCTGGCGATTATCGTTTTGATATTTTCAAATATTTTTATACTCCACGATTTTAAATGACCCACGTTATGAGATTTCTAACTTCTGTCTTTAACAAATTCGACGGATAGATAGTGCTAACAAACTTCTAATCGTACGGATGAATTTCCAATAACGATCCTTTATTTTCCTCTATCCCGTCCGCTACGTTCCGTGCAATTTTTTCGCTTTCCCCTTTGTTTGGTTATCGACTTTCTGAATAACGCGGCATACCGTTTTAACTAGCATACGCGAAATATTTTCAGTTTACCGTGACGAGTACTTGTACACAGGACAATTTCATTTCCTTTGGAAACGCCATCGTCGCAGTCTCATATCGTTCAATTAATTAAACGCGTCTGAGCTGATTTAAACTAAATATTTGACACTGTTTTGCATTTGAACGCAATTTCCATGCGGACTACTAATAAGACCGTCGCCGGGGGACGTTACGTCCCTTCGCATTTTTCTGAATGTTTACTACGACTTCTGACGTAAAGGGAACTATATTTTGAAGCGACGAGTTCCCGCTGTAATTGGAAACTTTGACAGAAGTTGCGAGCGGGGGAAAACTTTTTAATGATAATTTCCCTGTCGTGCCGAGTAATAGGAGCTGGACAATATCGCAAACAAAATTCCGTATTTAAATTTTATCTGAGAACATTTCGGAATTCCTACAACTCATTTCTGTTAAACGTAACAATAAATAATGACACACCTTTGGAATTGTTAAAAGACTCTCGACTGACGATCGCTTAATTCAATTTCAACTCGCAATCTTCCCACGAATTTTGTTTCATCCCGTAGTTTATAAGTTCCATCCTCATCATAAAATAATTTCAATTCACTTTATGGACCGAAACTCGCCGATCTATGGCTCAGATTACGATATCAAATCGAATTTACTTGTTCGTCTCGTCACGTTTAGATCCGCTTGAGTTTTACTAGTTTAAAACTTGGCACGAGAATAGACGAGGTATCGATTCGCTAGAGGACGAATCAATGAATTTACTGGATTTCAAGAAACTTTCACATCTTTCAAACGAAAAAGCAACTAGTTTCACTCCGAGGAAACACAAGTTCGCATCACGGTCGAGTCGCCAAATAGAGAAAGAGAGAGAGAGAAAGAGATTTTTCACCCGGGCATGGATTCAAATTTTCCGGCTTATATCTCAATCGAGAGAGCTGCGCGTCCAACCGAAATTCAAATGTTTCCCTCTCGCTCTAATTACGTGTCATGTTTTTCGAATGAACGAACAAGCTGATGGCATACTCCGTTCCAAGACCACACTAAATCTTATAATAAATCATCTAATCGAAATCACATAATAAATCCCGAATAATTGTAAAATATAAATCAAGTGGAAAAAGTAAAAACTTGTCGATTTTTCATGAGAATTTCCTTAGAATGTGAAAAATCTCAGGAAGCTTCAGTAAAGTTTTATCTGCCGAATTGTAAACCAGAGTTGCCATGCATAAAATATCTGTCTTCGATAATTCATTAAAAAATTTACACTTACAGCACATCAAATTATCATGTCACTCGTTTTGTAATACGTCTTAAGGATGTATTGGCTATACAGTCAATCCCAAAAGTTTATGCACTTTAGAAACGCATTTTTTAAAAAGAAATCAGACGTCGGAAGAACATTGCTAATAATAAATAACAAAAAAAAATTTTCGTTTTTGGCCAATACCTCCCAAACCATTGGACATACGGAA